ACTTGTCTGAGGAACCGAAGGAGGAGAACATTTCTATCTGCTGCAAGTACCTGGAGCGGATGGCAAAGATTAATTGTTTGCTCGAGATGGAAATCGGCATTACTGGCGGTGAGGAAGATGGAGTGAACAATGAGGGCGTTGATAACGCAGCCCTCTATACCCAGCCCGAAGATATTCTCGACATCTACAAGAGATTCTCAGAGTATACCGATTTGTTCAGCATTGCTGCTGCCTTTGGTAACGTCCACGGTGTATACCAAGCCGGCAACGTGAAGCTGCACCCGGAACTTCTCGGCAAGCACCAGGCTCATGTGAAGAAGGAGTTGAAACTCGAGAGCGACAGACCCGTTTTCTTCGTCTTCCATGGCGGTTCCGGATCCACCAAGCAGGAGATCGCTACGGCTCTCTCTCACGGTGTTGTGAAGATGAACATTGACACTGACACTCAGTGGGCGTACTGCAGTGGTTTCCGTGACTACTTCAACGCGAAGGCCGATTATGTCAGGAACCAAGTTGGCAATCCTGAAGGTGCCGACAAGCCCAATAAGAAGTACTACGATCCCAGAGTCTTCGTCCGTGAGGGTGAGAAGACTATGACCAAGCGCGTTATTGAGGCTTGCAAGGACCTTAAGAACGAGAATACCTATTAAAAGTTTCCATATTTTTGAAACATTTTTTAATGGAAGAAGAAGAAAACCTTTGAGCTGTTTTTGAAGATGGGGAAGAAGTGGAGTTGATGCTGCGACGTATATAGAACATGTCACCTTCAATGGTCACTGGGGCCGATCGGTGCCCAGCAGTCAGCTGAGAGCCATACGATTCTGTAAAAGCCCGAACTCTACCACAGAATGTCCGGTCACAAACCCGTGTGTCAGGCGATTGATTAGTCTCAGCCAGACGAGGTCCTAAGACCCCGATGCTTCGTAAGAAGCTCGCACAGTTCCCGTTCTACACCTCAGCCGCCTCATAGGTGTGTGAATGCCTTGTCTTTGACTCCATCCAGTCAGCGTTGGTACGATGGGGCTTCGTGGATATCGCACATGATGGCACGGTAACGAGATTAAAAAAACTATCGGTCACTGTTCGGCGTGTTGACGCGTTTCACGACTTTCGAATCTGTAAAGTTCGGCAAGGGGTTCACGTGGGCCTTCAGCGGAGGCTTCTGCGTGTAGTCTTTTGAGGACAAGTGCCAGTAGTCTTGAGACATTGAGAGTTTTTATTTTTACGCAGTCTGCATCGAGTGGTAGGTCAAGAGTGTTGGTTATGAGTACTTCGGTGAGGGGTGCAGCTTCTATTGCACAGAACGCGCTCCGTCGGAGAACGCCGTGTGGCGCGTATGCGAACACACGTTTCGCACCGTGTGCTTTGCACACACGTGCGGCCCTACACACACGATGCCCTGAGTCAACGATGTCGTCAACGATTATCACGTCACGTCCTCGCACTTCGCCCACCAACGCCGCACCTTGAGCATCGTAGTTCTCCTCCGACGCCCGCGACGAAGGGTCCGAGCACCATGGGTCTTCGGACTTCAGATCACCGGAAGCGGAGGAGTCGGAGGACACGCATTGGTCGAGGGCTACGCTCGCGGAGTGGTCGGTAACAATAGCCGCCATGCCCACGTCGCAGTTACCGGTCTTGAACCGGCTCCAAAAAGCCTTCGCGCGTTCGCCACACTCGTTGTCCGGCGAAACGACCACCGGGCGGTCCAGCTTCTTGTTCTTGAAGTAACGAACCGCCAATCGGTGCGGCAACACGTTTATGACCGGGATAGACTCAGGGAAGAACGCCGCCGCCCGCGGGTCATGGTGGTCCACAAACAACACGCGGTGCACTCCCATCGAATGCAAGATCTACCGGCAAACTCAAGCGGTCGTCGGCGATGCGGTGATATACACAATCGGGTGACTGTGAAGGGGGGG